CATGAGAATGTTCTAATTCTGTGTCCCATCCTCTTATCAGAACATTCTTTGCCCCCAGGTGACAGGACAAAGCTGATCATCGGGCACCTGCGATGGAATCACAGGCTTTCCCTCTGGGTGGAAGAACATGGGTTTAACCAGCGAAAGGCTGGACGCCCCATAGCTGTAATTCTCACAGAGGGCATCTGGGGCCCCTGGGCAGGGGAGGCAGGATGGACAGAGAAAGCAGATCACCATGTGGGCCCTGGGACGACACCAACCTGGGCCTCACTCCCACTTGCCCAGTAGGATGAAGCTGGGAACATTCCTTAACCACTTTTGGCCTCAGTTTCCCTCTCTGTCACCTGGTCACAGAGAGAGGAGTAAAGGAAGGAATGTGATCTCTTCAGGCCAGGAAAGTGCTGCCCATGAGCATGGATGACCACAGAGGGCACAGCAAGCAAACTGGGTACACAGGAGACAAACACAAGTCACCAGGCATGTGTAGATGAAATAACCAGAGCAAAGGCCTCAACCCTGGTCTGCAGAAAGATGCAAAATAGATTTTCATAAAGCTAAATGTATTGCATTCAAAGAATAGGCCTCTGACATCGAATCCTGTCCATGCTAAAGGCCGAATTTTAACACCCCCCCAAAGATATGCTGCAGTATTTACCCCTAGCACCTCGGGGATATGACCTTTTTGGAAACAGTCATTGCAGATGTGGTTAGATCACATGGGGTCACACTGGGGTAGGGAGGTCCCTTCATCCAACGTAACTGGTGTCTTACAGAGAGGGGAGACACACGGGAGAAGCTACCACATGGAGGAGGCAGAGACTGGAGTGACGCTGGCCACCAGGAACTGGAAGAGGCAGGAAAGAGCCTCCCTAGGGGCTGCAGGGGGAGAGTGGCCCTCTGAATAATTTTCAGTTGTTTAAGCCACTCTATTTGTTACAGCTGCCTGAGGAACCACTCCAGTCCTCTTCGTTTTCACTTAATATGCTCTTTCAGGAAATCACAGTGACGTGGAGGGTAGTTGATTTCCAAGGACTTACTTCATAAGATACAGTATACAAGACCCTAATTTTAAAAAAGTGGTTGAAATCCAAAAATCCAGGGCACACCAAGCAAGAGGAGCCTGTCGGCCTGAGGGCTGGATGGAGAAACGAGACAGCGGGGGAGGCGTGGGCCTCACTCGGGGGCCGCTGAAGAAACCTCTAGAACCTGGTTCTGCTACCAGGCTCCAGGGTTCTGGCAATTTGATTTGTACAGTCAGACTCTGCACCCAGTTCCCAGCACAGCACCCAACCCACGGCAGGTGATAAATAATAAAAAACTCGTTGAATGAAGTGGATGATTCAAAGCCTAATGATGCAGGGAGGAGAGTGGTAATGAACATGAGGCATGAGAACAAAAGGAAATAATTTTCATCATGAAGACATGAGGGGGAAGAAAAAAAAAAGCGGCCTCCACTGGGGGGCACCGTTTTCTCTGTGTCATTTTAAACCAGGTATTTACCTGCCGCGTCTATATCCAGGAGCACAGTTATCTTGAGCAGAAGTCACAGGCAAGAAACTGGCCCTGCTGCTCATCTTAAGGCTCAGTGTCTAACTGGAGAGGACCGTCTTCACCTTTGTGGAAGCCCGAGAAGGCAGCCACTAGCGCACAGAAGCCAGGTGCTCCAATCTGTGCGGAATTAAATTGGCTGCAGTCCTCCCAGGAAACCCCCTCGCAGCTGCAGTCGGCAGGCGGGCCTGCGAAGCCACAGCCACTAAGCAAACACAGGTGTTTGCAGCTCGACACCCACAGCCATCCTGCACCTGCGCCATCCCCTCTTCTAATTTATTCCACCTGCTAGTGTACACGGTGGCATTAGCCTCCACGTTGAAAAGTTGGAGAGAAAAACAACAGTTGTGAGACAGCATCTCAGGGAAGCGGATAGGATTTAGAAAACTAATCAATGAGAAAGTAAGCAGATGGTTCTAGCCCACAGGCACTGAGAGCAGCGGCTGAACACGCATATTTCACAGCCCAGGTGCTGAGACTGCTTCTAGGATGAAGCTTCAGCTGATTTAGAATAAAACAGAGTTGTTTCTTCTCTCATCCCTCCATATGGACGTACTGGCTTTTGTCTTAAGATTCCTAAATTCTATTTGTCTCTTATCAGCTGCTCTCTGTATAACTGCCACCCTTCTCCATCCTGGCAAAACCCTGCTTCCTTTTAGCTGAAAGCACTCAGGTGAGCAACAGTTTCCCAGCATTAGAAGTGAATCAAAATATACACCAGGCAACCCCGAGGCCACACTTGCAGGCACAGTCCCAATGCCCAGCTCAGTCCTCCAGTTACAGTAAGAAGCCTGCTCATCAGAAACTGCCTCAAACACCCCCCCACAGAAACACATCTGCACGGTTGGCATCCCCCCTGAGCCACCCGGACCAGGACCGGCCTGGGCACTGACCTGCTCCGTCTCCACGAAGTTGGACACGTGGCCATCGTCGTTCACGCCGCGGGTGTGGAAGCGAGCACCGGCGCGCTCGCAGCTGATGCGGGAGATGAGGCAGGCCTTGGCCTGCTTGTGCGAGGCGTACACCGTGCGGATGGCCACGACCCCGCAGATGACCTTCAGGAGCCAGTCACAGCACCTCACCTGGTGCTGCCTCAGGGGCAGGTGCAGCAGCTGGTTCCTGCAAAACGGAGCCCCAGAATGACAGGGGTCCCCTCGCACCCTCCAGGAAACACTGCCCGAGGCATGCAGGGAGGGGCCCTTGGGCTGGCATGCCCCTCAGTGTGAGGTGGGCTCTGTGCTCGGGACGTCTGTGGGCCTCTGAGGGACACCAAGCAGGGCCACTGAGACATGTGCGGCAGGAAAGGGCAAGGAGTCCTTTCCAGAAGCCACTGCCAGCGGCAAGAGCAAGGGGACGCCACGCGTGGCTTGTGAGCCACCATGCGCCCGCCTTTCAGCAAATTTCAAGGGAACCTCTGTTCAGACCTGTGGCCTCCATGCTTTTAATTGGAAATCTCATCAGTAAAAATTTAAAATGTTTTGTGATTAAATAATGACAAATGATTAAAAGAATCATATTAAATACATGCATGCTTATTTAAATTATATCCATATCCCATGAGGTGAATTACAAAGCAATCCCAAATAAATAAGAGGATGAGACGGAAATAAAACTTAACGAAGTTCCAGTATTTCCGTACCTGGTGGATTGTTCTGGGCCTCTGGAGACCCCTGGCGTAACAATGGGATAACAGCCAACACTTACCCAGCGCACTGAGCACCATTCTAAGGGCTTCAAGATGGACTAACTCACTTCCTCCTCGAAACAACCCCATCTGACAGGTATTATCACTCACCCCAATTTACAAATAAAGAAACTGAGGCACAGCGAAGCAAAGTGCCCACTTGCCCAAGGTCATGGGGCCAGGAAGCAGCGCATGGAGCTGGGAGCCTGTGCTCTTTCCCCAGCCAGGGGCCCTCACCTCTCTTTTTAAGTTTTTAAAACATGTTTTTTATTGATTTCAGGGAGGCGGGGAGAAACATCAATGAGGGGAGAGAGTCATGCAGGAGGCAGCCATCTCTCATTTCTGGAGAAGCGTGCTGTGAACCCTGAGCTCTCCAGTGGCTTCTCCAAGCAGCAGTGACCCCTGGCTCTGAGGTAGGCCTCGCTACCTGCGAGCATGGCCACCGCCATCTGGGTGCAGGTGGGTGCTGAGACCCCCAGGGAAGTGGCCACACGGGACTCCCTGCTCCACCCCTCCCAAGCTCTCAGAACCACAGCACCCGCCCGCCTGAGAGAGGATGACCAGAAGACTGCTTTACAAACACGTCTCCCTCTCCCACACTGCTCTCTCAAGTTCAAATGACAAACCAGCCTTAGTGATAAGAGTATGAAATCCACACACGGCATCCAGGCAGAGACTCCAAATACTCCAGAGTCCTCCAGCCACATGGCTCTGGCCACCATCAGTCACCAGGGGTCAGGAGAAGGAAGCTTTTGCTAAGTGGACAGCTGTGACTGAAGTCTGCCTATGGTCCCACTGGCCTGACCCGCTGTGAGAGGAGGGCTCACATCCTCAGGGAAGGCGCTAGAAAGGAAGACACCTGTGCGTTTCCTCTCAGGCCTTGCTTGTACTGGGAAGCAGTTCTCAGCGGGCTCAATAACCAGCCCGGAAAAACGACTCCACCCACCGTAAACTCTCCCTGTTCACCAGCCACATTCAGCACTGACCCTATCTTACCCCAGATATGGGTCCAGACACGTCTTACCACGTGAGTGCATCACCTTGGCAGGATGGCTCAGTTTCCCCATTGTTGGGGCTGGTTTGGAATCTGGAGGCAGAATGCCTGGGTTCTAATTCCCTCAGTCCCCTTATCTGTAAGATGGGGATAACAGACCCCACCTGACAGACTCCTATGAGGATATGAGTATATCACCCACGGAGACCTTAGAACGTGCCTGGAACAAGAGTGTGGGATCTGTCTGCAGAGGGTACCCAGGACTGCTGAGCAGACGCAAAAGAGCTGAGCACAGGCCCAGGCGTTTAGGAGATGCCGGCGGACACTGCCTCTTACGCTCTTTACTTACGGCCCAGATTTTATCCTGAATCTACCACTTTGAACACCTTCCCTGACCCCAGGCGTGGGGACGATGGGGTCTGTCTTCCTCTCGCTGTGTGGAGAGTGAGGGGGCATGGATCCCAGCTCTCAGAGGTAACCCCGGACCCTAGGGACAATACAAAGCAGAGATCAAGGACACAGGCTCTGCGACCTGGGGCAGGAGATGCAGGCCCGAGTCTCACCAAAAGAAGGCGTTCCCCCACTCGTAGCTGTCATCGCCCTGCTTCTGTGCCCGGACTGTGAGGTCAAAGTGAGACCCGTCGTTGGGCCACGAGAAGTAGAAAACGCCCGAGTTGAGGATCTTCCTGAGGGCCGCGAGCCGGTCCTCCTCCTTGGCCTCTTCCTGCAGAGGGTAAAAGTCCGTGGCAGTGATTTTGTAGATCTCAGCCTCCGGGATTCTGCCCACAGATGTGCAGCCTGTCACCAGGACCAGGAAGCTCAGGGACGCATCACCTGGAGGGGAAATAAGACAGGAGGGCTTAGGACCACGGTGGGCAGCTTGCAGTCTCGAGAGGCCCAGACAGCCCAGTTTTCACTGCAGCTACGTGACTTCCTGTTCACCACTCCCCACATCCCCTGGCACCTCCAATTCCTCAACTCAGGGTCTCAGGACTCGCCCTGCCATGTGGGCCTACAGCACAGAGCCTGGTCCTGAGCAGGGCCCCTGACCAGCAGCGCCACCTGGGAGCCTGTTAGAAATGCAAATTCTGGGCCCATCCAGACCCGTGGGCCTGGCCAGAGCCGGAGCTCTAACAAGCCCCAGGTGATTCTGCTGCCCACCAGAGGCTATGGATTGCTGGCCTGGAGCCTTCCCAGCCCCACACCCTCTCCCCCATCTGCCACCGTCTCCACGAATCCTCAGCCACCGACTGGCTCAGGGTTTCCAGCCCACATCAGTCCTCCAAGCTCAAGCCTCCTGCCCCCATGAAAGGTTCCCAGACCACTGCCAACCTGGAGTATAGCCCCTGTGCTCTAGGCTTCAAGCCCGAGATTAGATTGTAGGGCGTGGGTTCAGGAGAGGCATGGAAAAGTTTACATCTCTCCATCCGAGTCCTCACAGCCTCTGTGAGTTCTCATAGCCTTTGCGTGGGGGGCCAGGTCCCTGGCAAGAGTCCCAGACTGCTGTGAAGACAGTGGGCACTTCCCAGGCAGAGTGTGGTGGGGGAGGCTTGGGATGGGCATGCAGCAGGCCTGCGTGAAAAGGCGCTTCAGATAAATGAGAACAAAGGACAGTGCGGTCACCACTGAGAGTTTGGGCTTAGTCCCAGGACCAGGGGCTCCGGAGAGGGTGCGGGTGACTGAGAGTCACTGTGGGAGCCTGGAGCAGGGAGCTTTAGTGCCAGCTGATCCTCAGGGTGGTGCTTACTATGAGCAGCACCGGTTCACAAACTGCCTCCAGCAGCCCCAGGGAGGTGCCATTTTTTGCCCCATTTTACACAAACGGAGACAGGGGTACAGAGGTTTTGAAGGGAAGGGTCCTGGTTCGAGCCTAGCATCAGGCTGTTAGAGGGTCACTGTCCCCCTGGCCCACCTGTCAGGATGGTGTTGGCCCGTGTCCCCACCAAGAAGGTGTCTCTAGGGGATAAAAGTGAGGCTAGTGGGCCTCGCCTGCCCAGCTGTGCGGGAATCCCTCCGATGCTCACCTTGAGCACAGGATCCAGGCTTTGCTTTGAGTAAGGCAGGTCAGGTTTCTCATAGTCAAGAAGAGAACTGGGCCTGGGGAGGGGCTCGGAAGTCTTTAGTGTGGGCTGAGTCAGGGGCCTGAAACCAGCAAGGATCTTGGAGTAAGGGAAAGACAAGCTCTAATGTACCCTGGCCTCGGAAGACGGGGCTTGGAGCTCTGCACCCCTCCAACGGCCTGTGCAGCCTACAGCAATTCTCCCAGCCTGTCTGGGCCTCAGAGGAGGAGGCACCATGTGGTCTCCATGTCCCTTCCAGCTCAAACATTCTGGGTCCAGGGCTCCGGCCAAAGCAGCAGCACACCAGGTCAGAGGTTGCTGGCTAGAGTCAGGTGAGAGGCGGGTGCAGGTGAGCCTGCAGTGACAGGGTCGGGTCCTGTCTAGCTGTGGCCATCTGTCACCCGGCAGGGGAGGGCTGGCACTGGGATCACAGTGAGTCACTGCAGACACGACACAATGCCACTCATTCAGGGACAAGGCTGGGTGTGTTTGCCCAGGGCCCTGCTTCCCCTGTGCTGGCATTTCTCTGTGTTTGCTCAGCTCTGAGTTCTCTTACCAATCTCAACCCTGGGCTGCCTCTGGACTGTCCTCATACAGGACACTCTCAACTTTACTCTGTAAACAAAGGACCTGGGAACTCTGGGCTGTCCCACTGGAAAGTAGGAGCTTTGGCTAGAAGATCCCCAGCCCCCTTCCCCGCCCCATTCGAACAAGCTCAGAATTCTATTGCCTCTGTAGCCACCAGGCTCAGGTGCTCCTCACCCCCGTTTCTAAAAGGTGAGAGCGCTGTAGGCCGCTCTGGCTGGCCGCTCACGCAGCTCGTGACAGCCAGCTGTGCACGTGCTGTCCCCACTCCAACCGGGAGCCTGCAATCAGCCAGGGCGGGCGTGTTTATACCACGAAAATTTCCTGGGAGCTGGATGTCAGATATATACCAGCCACCACTGGGTATAGGTATTAAAATAAATCACTCTAAGACCATGAAGGCGATTCCATTTCACGACTCATACCCTGAACCTCAAAAGACTGTCCGACGCCCCCTCCGGGCTTTTCTTCTGAAGTGATGGCCCACAGAAGTGAGTGCTGCGCGAGCCATGCCCACCCATCAGGGGTCCCCGACCCTCAGGGCTCAGCCTGCTCCCTTCCCCCACACCCAGTTGTGGGGGCTCCACAGGGACCCCCTCTGCAGGCCAGCCCCTCCCACGCAGCACCCATGCTCCTTCTCTCATGGAAATCTCTTAAGAACCATGTAAGTAGAGAAGAGGTAGTTTCCCCGTGTTACAGGTAGGAGAACAGTCTAGAAAGAGAATGAACGCAGAGCCCAGGCTGCTGTGACGCTGGAACTGGGACCCAGGAGGCTGTCCCGTGGAAAGCGTGTGGGGCTGTCACAGAGTTTCACGGGCTGTGCACGGCACAGTCAGGAGACTCGATTCATCAGAGATCTCGGTTTATTCACCCACCCAGGCTACAGAACAGGGAGGCCTTGGGAGCTCGGGTTAAAAGCAGGTTAAATCCCTATACTCACTGGGGTAAGTCCTTTCACTGCTACGCTCTCACTGTCTGTGTTGAGCAGTCACTGGCAAGCCCTGTTCCCCGCTAATTGTGGGGCTCCACCCCCTTCCCACTGGCATTTCAGGTAGGGGAGGCTTTGAGCTCTCTATGAAAACCCAGCAACCTGAGATAAAGCTTTGGTGCAACTTTTGTGCATGTTTCTTAACTTCTAACATAAAAGGCTATTTTCACTTCAGTAGATTGAAACTGAACGACTTCCCCCAAGCTGAGAGCCTGAGGGGAAGTCTTTGTACAGAGACCCTCAGCCTAAAAAAGTCAAAAGGGGGACCCACCCTCACTGCGTAGGGTCATCCTGGTGGCAACCAAAAGTTAAAGGATGCTCCGTGGTTCCCAGTACCCTTAACAGGCAAGAAACAAACAAACACACAAACACACACACAAAACAGATCTAGTTTGAGGTTGCTGCTGAAGCCCACCCTGGCCCCTGGGCTGGGCCCTCTGCAGACAGATACCCTAGGTCACTCACATAGTATTTTTCTGGAGCCTATCACCCTTCCTGGGTAGGAGCCATTGCCTATAGCTGACCTCAGGAAAGCCCAGAAAAAATCGCTTTCCCCTGGGATGGGGGAAGCTACGGCTCTTCCCGTCCTCAGAAGCTCAGCTTTCTGCCCCTCTGAGACAGAGCAGCCTGGAGGTGGAGAGCAACCGAGGCTTAAGAGCTGCCTGACTTTGGGCAACTTATGGCCCTGCACTGAGTCCAGGCCCCTTGAGATGCAAAGTGGATCATTTAATTAAGCACGAGAAGAACATTGCCAATTATAACTGTAAAATGTCAACCACAGTAACACTTCCTGAGAGCCTGGAGGTGACGATGTAAACAAAGTGTCACAGACTAGATGACGCACAGCAGGTCAGCTTTCCGAGCCTGTCCCTCTGTGTCTGTGAAGCTGGAAAGCAACAGCACCTCCCTCAGGATTCTGAGAGAGCTGAGTTAATCAGTTAAAACACTCAGCAGTACCTGGCCCCGGGTGAGCACTGTGCAAGGCCACCTGCCACCCTCACATCGTCAGGATTGAGGCAGGGCCACAGGAATTTCTCGCAGCCTCAGAAAGATCACCGGGGTGGGAGGAGTCCTATAGAAAAACCCTGGCAGGTGGCACATTTTCACGGAAAAAGCAAGTGTGTGGGGGCAGCCAGGTCCAGGTTTGAATCCCAGCTGAGCTTCTTTGGGCAAGTTACTTCACCTCTCTGAGCACGTTTCCTTTACTGTAAACAGGGGTGAAGATGCATGATCACACTGCTTATCTGCAGGATTAAGTAACATAATGTCTACCTTGTCCTTGGCACAGAATGGACATTTACTAAGTGCACTTTGTCGTGTGGGTACTGAGTGCTTTTCCTAAGCACTGTTCAGAAATTATCAACGTCATCATCGTAGTTCAGGAAAAATCATCCCATGAGAGACCCAGGAAAACAATGCAAACACCAGTGCTGTTCTGGGGGCTTAGAAACCAGCAGCTGAGGGAGGTGTGGAGATGGACGTGCTCGGCTGGGGAAAGCCATTGTGCTTGAATTCGGAAGGGCTGCGGGAACTACAGCCCTTCCTGTTTTGACCCTGCAGGACCGAGAATCAGGAATGCCACGGGGGCTCCAGTCTTGGCCCGTAACTCACTGAATACTGGGTGGGGCCAACATAATTAGCCGACTGAGACAGAGGGAAGGGCATGGTGGCACCAGAGCTACCATGAGGCCCAGGAGTGCAGAGGTGACTTGGCAGCCCCAAGAGGAGGCTGCCACCCCCAAGGGCAGCCTGGCTGACTGCTGGGCACCTCGATCTCATATTGACAAGGATGCTCACTTGTTCCTATAAGCCCTCTGCCTTTTCTAATCAGACCAAGTGGCTCATTTTGCGATATACTTTCCTTTACTCTAGCCTTATGCCCCCCCCCCC